TTTCTTGTTGATGTTTGTTGAGACCTCACGGCTCGACGTCACTGGAATGATGGGAATTTGGTTGACCCAAAATGGACGCGAATTTATCACTTTTCAGGTCCGTCAATTATTAGTTTAACAATCCGAACTATCCAGGTCTACAACATGAAATGCCATTTTTAAAGTGTTCCATCTTTGGGGACCTCTATAGTTTCTATGAAACCACAACAAAATGTATCAAATGGTCATTTTTTTGCTATTTGACCATTGCTGTGGTTGGGGCTGTAAAATGATCATAATTTTGAACCATAGTTCTCGTCGTTTTACTGAGCCTGTTGTCCAAAATGATCCTGGGAATTCCTGATAGCCCCAGGGTCTATTGGACTCAAAGTAGGGTATGTTTAAAGTCGGTGACCACATGCCAAGAACATGTCAAGAAATGGATTATATGTCAGATTATTCAATGTTCTAGGCACATGCAAAATTTGGGTACTTAAAGAAAAGGTGGTTCACTGTTGAACATGCCTAGATGTTGTGAGTGGTGAGCCCGCAATCCATGTCAGTATAGTATATTCATGTATATTCCTTGTCCCCGCTTTGAAAGCTTTGTTCCACAGTGTTATGGCTGCCTTGTTCCGCAACCTCACTGGCAGCCAACATAAATGATGGCCAAGGATGGCCTCAATTCTGGTTTGTGATTTGTGGCAATGAACATCCCGAAACTTCGAAGCGAGACAGGTCTAACAGCTATAGCATAACCTAGCTATTATCATATGGGGATGAGTCAAAACCTATTCGTACTATATTTGGGGAATAAACATCCATTAACCAGCTATTTTAGAATATTTTAGGGTACCTAGGGTGCCAGAGTTTTGACTCAAAGCCATATCTTGGTGATATCTTTGTGATTAAAAAAAGGGCCGTACCCCAGCACTTGGCTTATCAACTGACGAATTGGGAACCCCCTTGGGCACTTTGGAAAATTTTGCCCAGATTGTTGATACTTGTAGCTCCAAATGCGACGATGAAATTCAATCTTTGATACCATCTGGTTATGACTAACATAGCCATCTGGTTATCCAACCATAAATGGAGGTTTCTAGCTGGGAAATTTTATCTATTTCTATGGGCCATGGATTCCATGGCTATGTTAGTCATAACCAGAGGGTAGATCAAACTTTATAAGCCAGGCTTTTGCGATAGACGAAGGAACTTGACCACCGAAGAGTGCTTTGTCCGGAACGTGCTGTCTCTTCGCAGGATTTCTCTATCGGAATCCACGTTTTTTTTTTGCGTCGGGAGCGGTGCGGAGACTAAATTTCTGCATGGTTTTGTCAACTGGAAGATCCTTGGATGCTTCCTGAACTTGGAGCTACTTAAGAAACTTGAAACTTGGACTTTAGCAAGAAACAGTTTCCAGAATGGGCCCGCATAGATGGTATGTGTACATATCATAGTATACATGTCATAGCAAGAAATGTTTTCGTATGTATACATAGAAATACATATACGTATATATATAGTCAACAATGGTCAACAGATCATTTCGAACATGTCAATTTAAGATGAATCCAAATTTATATTTGTAACTGGTTGGTGGTTTCAATCATTTTTTATTTTCCATTTCAGATATGGGTTGTCATCCTTCCCATTGACGAACTCATAATTTTCAACATGAATAAAAACCACCAAGCAGATCCATTATTAACCATCATTAATCATCATTAACCATCATTAAACCATCATTAAACCATCATTAAACCATCAAGATGTTGAATTTGATGTATCAACTTTTCACATGAATCCAATAGATTCAATCGATGTTTCTGACGATGCTTGTCCTTGGAACGACCCAAGAAACACTAAGTTAGCTGCCGAACGGGCCGTTCGGGCCGTTCCGATCTGCGCAGCTCATCCGATATCTTGCCATATCTTGCCTAGGTGACTAGTGTGGGAACCAAAGAAGTGCGAACTTGCAGCTAAATACATGGTATAGATTTGGTAGATCTCTCCCTGAAAATCAAGGGTTTACAAGTCGAGAAAAACACCCATGTTCGCTGATGATGTTTTTGTTTTGTTTCGAGAAAACTTCCGAAGTTTGGGATTATGTGGAATCACTGCACGCGAAAGTGTGTCCCAGCAGCATTGGAGCTTTCTCCAGCTTCTTCCAGCGTGGCTTGGACGATGTAGCTGGTTTTCACTAAGCTCAGATTCCCCAAGTAATACATGATGATAATATTCTCCTGTGTAAGTATTATACTGTAGTTAATGGTTTGCGATCGTCTAGTTTTAACTGGAATCATATTCCTGCTCATTAAGTGAGGTCCAGGTAAACCCCATGATGTACTTAGGCCATGAAAGGAGCCAGGTAGGTTTCACCACGCTCAGCCTAATTGACACCGAGTCCCGACGTGTGCTGGAATGCTCGTGAAGACCACGAGGCTTGTACAGATTCACATCCTGAGACCTTTCCGTCAACAACGATCAACGACAGTCTCTTGCACCTAAAATCCTTGGTATTTGATGGCGAATTCCCTGGCCCTCCACTATGGCAGTTTAGTTTTGGTGCAGCACAGCCAAAAAAAAAGCTAGGTCAAGATCCCATTAAAGTACATTAAAGTACATGAATAATCCCATCCCCCATTGATATAAATCAGTTTCATGTCGTGGTTTCAGTCGTGATGACATCCCCTCCCCCATGCTTCATCCCAGGTTTCCAGTGGATTTTATACCCTACTCTCACTGAAAAAAGGCCAGAGATAGAACTCTTTTCGGCTACTGAGAATTCGTGGTAATCTGGTAGCCGCCAAGTAGTGAATCATTCGTGATATTTTTTCACGATAATCTCAGCTGCAAGCCACTGAGCCATAGAAAAAAGGGGTTAGACTGGCGCCTATTGGAAGTTACTTCACCCATTTCATAGCAATATTTATATAGCAACCATTTATGTACGTATTTCATGGGGATAGGGTGATTTTTTCCCTGGCGAAAACTATAGAAGTTTTTTTTGTTTTTCGTTTTTTCTTTTTGGTGCTGTTGTTTTTTCTTGCCCAGGAGAGTGCCAGAAAGAGCAATCTTAAACATGTTTCTCCAGATCTCTGATCCAAAAACCAGGTGAGAATCCTGACGCAAAGAGAAAATTTTCGGAACATGTCGAACAGTTAGCGTGATATACCCTCTGGTTACGACTAACATAGCCATGGTATAGATGGCCCATTTATATATAGATGGTTCACCTAGCTATAAAAGTGTGATTTTCCATGGCTATGTTGAATAACCAGATGGTAATTTTGTTACATCCATTCCTTTTATGGTTGGTATATCAGGGTTTCATACTGCAGGCATCCTGAAAAATACTTGAAATCAAGGTCAACTGGTTGGTGCTTTGGAACCATGGAATTTCATGACTTTCCATATATTGGGAATAGTAACCCCAACTGACAAACTCATATTTTGGAACATTTATTATTTCTTCCATTCAGTTGGGAATGTCATCATTCCAACTGACGCACTCATATTCTTCAGAGGGGTAGGCCCAACCACCAACCAGCCAAATATGTTTTCATAGCAACATGAAGCCTGTTTCTTTCTCGCGCGTTTTGTTGGCCCCATTTGAATCCAGCTACATCCAGTGACGATGGCTTATCTGATGTTGTTCCGCGTTGACGGCTTTGGTTGAAATTGTGATGCGTAAGCGATGGCAAGGATCTAATATCAAATCTATCCAGAATCTATTTTAAAATCTAATCTAATATCTGATCTCATATCTAAACTAATCTAATACTCGTATCTTTGATTCTCTCTAATCTCTTATCTCTAAGCACAATCTATATGTATCTGATCTGTCTGTCTATCTATCTGTCTATCTATGAACAACCAAGAGAAAGGTTGATTCAGGTTGAAATGATATCCTGTGAGAATGATGTCCTGGACGTAGATCTTGTCCATTGAGCAAAAAGACGACACTTTCCGTATGGTCTGTGTCACTGAGACCTCACAATTTCCGAATTCGGAGAAAAACATCTTCCACCCATCGGACTTCCAAACTTTGTGAGATTTATTTTGTGAGATTTCCTAGCTGTCGCCGGCATCACCTGGAGACTTCCACGCCACTGCGCTGCGGACCGGAATTGTGTACAGCCATATTGGAGCGGTGCTGATCTGGTGGTGAAAGGGTGCTTGAAATCAACGTTGCCTCATGTGGCGAAAGCAACAACAAACAAGTCCTAGCCCTGAAGGGTTATAGCTGGCTTATTTCATGATATATAACCTTAGTTGCAGATTTTTATAATCTCATTTAATTCGTAATCGTTAATGCAACAACAAACCCCATCCTGAAGTGGTATTTATGACGTGGTTTTCCATGTTTTCTGCATTTCGGAGTGGATTTTCTTCCTCTCGGTGCCTGAGTGTCAGAGTTAAGATACTATCCATTAAATGGTGGTTTCCAAAAATGGGGGTACCCCAAAATGGATGGTTCATAGTGGAAAATCCTATTAAAATTGATGATTGAGGGGTGCCCCTATTTTAGGAAACCTCCATGTCAACTAAACAAGATAGTCAACTTTCAAACTAACTCAGCATTAAGCTACTTTGACTATTTAGTTGATCTTACTTGACTAGTGCAAGATGCATGAAGTAGCCAGGGTGTGGATCAATTCATCAACTCTTGGGTATGTCTCCTATGAGAACATCGATTTCTCATAGGTTTCTACTGTAATTGATAGTTGTCTCACTATACAGAAAACATCTAAGACATTTATCTTTGAACACCTTCTCACATGGTTAGCATGTTTGAAATGAATCTTGGGCTAAATTCCCACTTGTTGGACACATTGTGGTGCCTTCAGTTCTAGGTTGGTTTAAAATCCCCAAAATGACTAGTTCAATATATCCCTCTAATCCCAAAAAATCGAAAAGTATCTCAGTATCTTGGAGTTACGTTCACCTAACTTAGCTTATCTACATCCCGATGACATGCCGTGGATTTCCCGAATTTTTCCCCTGAGATTTGACACCAGGTGCTGATGCAAGGTGCTGTTAAGGCAGCCCAGGCAGGGCCATCCCATGGGAGTTTCTCCGGAAAAAGCCAAAAAAAAATCTGTTGGAAATAAGCCAGTTATAACCCTTAATTAAGGGCTATATAGGTGGAGTTATATAGTGATAACCAACATTCATATATCATAATAGTCAATATATCATAATAGTTAATCAGCATCATTAATTTATCAGCATTAATAGTGATAGTTATATAGTTGATATATACTTAGTTTGACCCCGTCTAGTTCTATGTTATGATAATACGGTGGATGGGCCAGCGAAATCCGAATCACCAGTTGATAGATGGTAAGCATCCGATTATTTATTTCAAGCATATTTAGAAATTTTAGTGGTTTGGAACATTTGGATTATTTGCCCATTCAGTTGGGAATGTCATCATCCCAACTGACGAACTCATATTTTTCAGAGGGGTAGGTATACCACCAACCAGATGTTATGATACTATTTAGAAATTTTAGTGCAATGATATAGTGCTAATATTTGTGGGGCCCCAGTTTATAAGTATGTTATATAGTTATGATAATCGTGTATGATACTTATATATTTAGATGGGGTTACCACTAACTATATATAGTCTAGTGATGTCTAAAGATATTTGATACTAACTATGGTATATACTAGTTATATAGTTATGATCTATCTAGATGGGGTGATAAGCCCCAACTTATGTCACTGCCCATCCCTGCAAGAAGAATTCTGATTAAAAACGAAGAAGGTTGTGGTGATTTTTCGCGTTTCAGATACATGATGATATAATGATATAATTTGACCTTATTGTGGATTTCCTGGGATTTCATTTTTTTTTAATACTGTGATATATGAGGTTGTGGATTCAATGGGGATGAAAATAGCATCTCAATGGGATAAGGGATAGGAATGGGTATTTAATCAAGAAAAGTGTGTGTTTTTTTTCACCAACGATACCTGGTGTTTTTTCTGCAACTGCCACGGATCCGAAGTGGGAGAGAGTCTGGGCCTTCTGAACCGCGAACAGAGCAGCATCTAGCAGCCTTACCCTCTGGTAAACATTAAAAAAAATATGGAACATCACCACAGGATGGGCCCCCCAAGATAGCGTTCAGTTGATTTATAAGTGGCTGAATTCTATGGTTTATGGTAGATATAACTATAGATAACTATATGGTTAATGGGGTTTATAAACCAACAAACATCACTGGGGTGCCCCATCCTGCATGCTATTAATGGGTAAATCAAGGAACTTTCTGTGGCCATGGCTTCAACTGTTCGTTTACCAGAGCGGCCAAGGTGTACAAGACGGTGTTCGTTTTCCACCGATGGATATCTTACATTTGCCCAACAATGGATTTCGTCATGTTATTTCATTTTTAATCTAGGTCAACCTTGGAGTGGTAGTTTTAGTCCTAATTACTCACCAGCTAAGAATTAGTTTTTTTTTACAGATATCTAAGATTCACCATCCAATCTGATGTAACAACATAGCCCATCACTGAAGTCCAACGTCCACCAAAATTGTTAAATGCCAAGTCCAAACAAAGCACAGGACAAAGTCTTCCCACAGGAACCCAACAGGATAGATCAGTTGGTTTCAAGCTGTAATAGAATTATTTGTGGATATCACTGGATATGTGTATCATTGTATATATATATATATATGCATTATATATATATTACATATTACATAATATATACATTATACATTATATATAATATAATATAATATATATATATTACATATTATATACATTATATACATTAGATATTATATATATTATATATTATATATTATACATTATATATTATATATTATACATTTTATATTTTTCATTATATACATTATACAATTATATATTAAATATTATATATTGTATATTTTATATTATATATAATATATATAAATATATATATATATTATATTGTATATGTACTACGTATATATTATGTACATTATAACATGTATACATGTATATTGTGTGTATTGTATATTACATGTATTATATATATTGATTATATTATAAATTTTATACTACATATTATATATTATACATTATATATTGTTAATTATTTATTTTACATTACAATATATTATATATTATATATATTATATATTATATTTATTATTTATATATATCATACGAATATGTTTTGTGGATACGTATGCATCTACATGTGGATGGGGACCATTTTATTTAAATCATGGGGGAAGCCCACTAACGACATCGTCAAACCTTGTGGTTGGACTGATAGGGATATGAAATGATATAAGCATGCACAACCGACTGGTTAGGTAGAAACTAACCCTTTAGTTGGTTTTTTGCTATAAATGGAAAATAAGAAATCATAACCAGCAAAAAATGACATTTTTTATAGACTACCAAAGATTGACCATGAAAATGGGGTATTCATGGGATTACATAAGAGAAACATCTGGATTTAATAGGATTAAAATGTATACTATAGTTGGAAGAGGTTATACATTATGGTCAATCTTCCATATATTGTATAATATCTTCCATAATATTTATTATATGTATATAAATGTATTGTAATCATATATGGAAGATATACAATATAGATTATATCTTGCATATACACATATTGTAAATGTTTACGATATAGCCCCAGGTTGTATACCAACTGCTGGGGGCCAACCTGGAACCTCACATCACCCAACCTGGGGCGAAGCCCCAGGCGAGAGCGGAGAAGGCGGCCAAGCTGGAGAGTTCCTTAGACATACGCAGTGTTGGTGTTTTTTTTTTTTCGGTGGGGAAGCAGTAGATATTTCGGAGTTTTTGACCAATGATATACAATGATATACATATACGATGTTATATATATATATATATTATACGATATGTATATATATACATATAAGACTTTAAGAGATTCTAAGCCTTTTGAATGTTTTTTTTTAGAGAACTGATCAGGGGGTGCCATGGAAGGATTGGATTTTTGCGGCCTGGGCCAGGGCCCGCGGCCGCCACAAATGCCATAAACCACCCATTTACTGGGATTTATAGTGATTCAATGGGATTTTATAGTGATTTAATGGGATTTGTAGTGATTTAATGGTGATTTAATGGGAATTTACCCTCTGGCAAACACATAAAAAACAATGGAAAATCACCATGTTATAGCTGGGTAAATCAACGATTTCGACTGGACAATTTTCAATAGCAAACTGTAAACGTTTATATACCAGAGGGTAATTATAGTGATGACTTTGGGATGATTTATCAATGTCAACCATGAATAAACTGTTATGTACCCCCTGTTATGTAATCATGAAAACCATTGGATTGCAACTGTTTTGCAACGCAATTATTACACCTGTTAAGATCAACCCTGGATTAATAAACCTTGGTTGATTGAGGATGGAGGGTATCATTTTCTCATTGAGCCACTGCTCCCACTGGGGGTGGGTTTAGCAATGACAGTAACCTGGAGCAAAAGAAGCGAAGGAACTGAAGCGCTACATGGGTGAGATTGCCACAAACGAAGGAGGAGACAATTGGTTCAAGTGAGTTTGTCTGAAAATAGTGTACCCCTACACCCAATGGTTAATGATCATTATCCCTACTAAATGGCTATAATTGGGGGTACCCAAGTACAAAATGATGGAAAATTGTGAGCCAAAGAGTCTTGACAAGACATCACCCCAGATCGGCATACGGAACCAGAGGGAACTGATCGGTCGGCTAACCGAGTTGGGGGACTTGATGATACAACGGTGACGTTGGAACCAGCGATCATCCCAGCAACGCAAGTCGGACAGACATGTTTTCTGGATGTTCCAATGGGAAATCCACTACTTAGGGAATCTATAGGAACTGGTTGGTGGTTTCAAACATGAATTTTATTTTCCATTTCATATCTGGGATAATCATCCCAACTGACGAACTCATATTTTTCAGAGGGGTATGGCTCAACCACCAACCAGATTTTGTTTGTGGGGGTTCCTTAAGCAAATCCACGTTTTTTCTATGATCAAATTTGACTCATTTGACCTATTTGACCTCGCCAGAATCAGCATCCTGTGGATCCATCAGGCCCCACCGGGGCCGAGATCGGAGATCCCAAACAGGGATTTTTCGCCACCGAAAATCATTGAAAGCATGCAAAAGCTCCAGCAAACCCTTTATGTCAATGATGTAAATCAATGTAAATCGGTCATGTTCCCACTATGTCACTATATTTCGCCAATTTACCTCCCTTATAATATTATACCAGGTGTGTTGGGGGCCCTGAAGAGTGCCAAGTTCACTGAAGTTAATGACACCAGCAGAGTGGAGCAAGTTAAGCCTATGTACTGATTGTAGGACAAGACACTTGTGGATGCTGTCTATGATTTTGGGAGTGGTGATGACAGAAAATATATATGAGAATCCGAAACCAACAAGTGGAGTACCACTCATGTTTTCGCCACAAGGTCAAGGTGATGTCAGTCTAAGACTAACTTATATAATCTTATAATATTATATGTATATATAAAGACAAATATTATATAGGTTTGATCCATGTCCATATCTCACAATTGTGGGCCTGGGCCCCAAACAAAACAACATGAAAACCCATATTGATTGCTACACCCATTTGGAATATCATGCCCAAAGCTGATTTCCCTTGGTTCCTTAAAAGATTTCCAGGTACTAGGGAGCAAAGCTCAGTGAATGGTAATCTGGTAGCTCATAGCTTCATGTTTGAGAACATGGTTCTATACTGGTACGAGGTGGGGACTCCCACTAAACGGGTTTACGACCCGTTAAAAATCTCCCATAAACCATACTGTGGATGGTTGCGAAATCCTGCACCAGTTGATAGATGGTAAACATCCCATTATTTATAGGGTTCAACCATCCGTTTGGTGGTGCAGGATTTCGCAACCATCCACAGTAGTTAACCAAGTTATAAACCAACTTGGCTCTGGTAAACGGGGGGCCCGAGGGAATCTATTTCATACCCAGCATCACAAAAGGAACTTTCTCGACTAAGGTCCGGAAGAGAGGGCAGAGAGAGAAAAGAAGGAGCAGGCCAAAGCCGGAGTTTGGAGAAGTGCAATCAGTTGATTGACTAATTGACTGACACCCAAGTTACTAAAGTTCTGGGAGAACATAGCCGCATCGACATCTTTATGGCTACTTGGAGGCTCTAGGTGTATTTTTTCCGAGTGTGGCCTCACACCCAAGTTATAGCCAGCTTTAATCTTACCAGTAATAATGATCAACATTGATTCACCAATATGGATCAATATGGGGTTTCATGGGGTTTCCATAAATGCGGCTACTCCTCAATCATCCATTTTAGATTGCGATTTTCCCTCATAAAGCCTCCAGCTATTGGGGTACCCCCATGACTATGGAAACCCCCATATTTTCACCAACCATGGGATGTTTGGGGCTTCCCCGAAATTTTCCAGCGCGTTTTTAACGGACAATCCAGGGCCATGAACTGCAAGCTAGTGCCGCCGTTCGATAGCGTTCAGTTGGTTTATAACTCCAATAACTATGGTTTATAGGTGATATATATGTATAGTTAATGGGGTTTATAAACCAATTTATAACTAGAGGGGCACCGCCTTGTGCAGATGATCATTTGGCCTTGAAGGGAGTTTTCGGGGGATGCTTCGGAAAAAAGCATGTTTCTGGGTAAATTTCATCACGACCAAAGCCTGTTCTCCCGAGCCCTGGGAATGATGGTGAGTAGGGGTGACTATCCCCAAATGACCCAACATTTCAGGTTAGTGACACATTCTAATTTACCCAGGTGTTTGTACAATGTGGGGCCCCCCAGTGATGTTTGATGGTTTATAAACCCCATGAATACTATAGTTATAGGTACCATAAACCATAGTGACATTGGAGTTATGAACGCACCAACTGAACGCAATTTCGTCGTTTGGGAGCCCCACGTTGTAGAGATAAAAGTATTGAGACATTTTACGGATTCCAGAGGGATGACCATAGGAAGGTTTGACGATATATTATATTCAGCATCAAGATCTACGTGATCTACGTCAGATGGATGTGAAATGCAACTATTTTCAAAAGGACACTCAGTCCTCAGGTCCCCAACTGTGAGAGGACACGCGAGAGTTGCTTTTCATCCGTCACAGATCTTAGAAGGCGTCTCCAAATGCCTTCTGAGACCTGTATTGACTGACTTGATTTTTGGGCCTCCAAAACACCTGCTTAAAAGGGTATTTGGAGCACTGTTGTTTGTAACTGGCAAAGGCAGGTAGAATGAGACTTTGGATAAGACGTGCACTGCGTGCACTCTATCGGGTACCATGTTCTATCCATGTGTCTAGAAACAGTCGAGGATTCCAACTTCCAAAATTGTTCCAAAGGAGTGGACGTTCGTGGTGCTCTTGTCCCGAGGGCATTGGATGCCTATCAAGGAACCATCACAGAAATCTGGATCTACATGGAGATATGTACTGTGTGAGGCGACTATGGCAATGTGTCAGATTATTTCTGGGTAAATTTCATCACGACCGAACCCTGTTCTCCCAAACCCTGGAAATCATGGTTAGTAAGGTTTTTATATGGGAAATCATCCCTTTTATGGCCCAACGTTTCAGGTCAGTGAATTATTTGATCTCCAGATTCTGCGAGATTCACAGTCATGTATACGTGGCCGCTGTGCAGGTTAACGTTAACATTTAAAAATGGGGCATGGAGCGCTGGTCAGTGGTCACAGTGGTCACCCTCACATGTCAGAAGGTGGTTGAGCTCGTTAGTTGGTGTAGGGATAGCTAGGGATAGCTAGGGCTTATGCCGTTAAACGACCTCATTCTTCTCCCTGACTGGAGTCATCGGGAATGGGATCGGGGTAACTTTCCCAAAATAGCCAATTTCTTCAGGTCAGTGAGTTAATAAATCACTTGTCCAGGACTATACTTCAGTGGGTTTATAAACAAACATACATAACTACTCGGGAGTGCAGTTCCACCAATCAGTTGTTATATTTCACTATATAGTTACAGTGTTACAGGGACCCCAACTCTCCCAACTGATGGGCTTCTGCAATACTTGGCTACTTCCTCTGTCATCAAACATGGGCTAGAAAGTCCACCAGCAATAGTTCGGCGCGATTTTGCCAGCGAACTACACATCCATTCGTCCCTGCTTTTCCATAGATTTGCCCAAGATTCTCCAACGAAAACCCAGCGAACCATGGATCTGATGACTAACCCCCGGCCGTACTGGGCAGCGGTTTGGTCATCTGGCGTTTTCCGCTGCAAAATCCCCGGACTCACAGTTTCCTGAAATAGGGGTACCTTCTGGTAAACTAACAGTTTGCTATTGAAAATTGCCCATTTATAGTTGATTTACCTGTTAAAGATGGTGATTTTCAATAGCTATGTTAGTTTACCAGAGGGTAGCCCCAAATCATCAATTTTAATCGCATTTTCTATGAAATAAACCAGCCATTGGGGATCCCCATTTCTGGAAGTCTTTGGGGAAAATCATAGGAAGATGTAGGACCGGAAATGAAAAAAATGAAGGTTTTACCCTCTGGTAAACATACAAAAAACTATGGAAAATCACAATTTTTAATGGGTAAATCAACTATAATTAAATGGCAATTTTCAATAGCTATGTTAGTTTACCAGAGGGTAATCGGGAACATCAATACACTATGAATATATGAATGGGAAAGCCTTAGGAAACTATTGGGAAATACATTATAAGCCGATGTTTTAATGGGGAAAATCATAGGAAAATACGTGAACATACAGTTTTAAACGGATGTTTTAATGCTGAAAATAACGGGAAACTATCGGTACATACGCTATAAACGGAAGTTTTAATCAGTGAAATCATAGGAATATATGGGAATATATTCTATAAATAAAGGTTTGAATCAGGAAAATCATAGGAACATATGAGCAAATACGGTTCTAAATTAAGGTTTTAATTGTGCGCATTAGTAGGAACATATAGAGAAATACATTTTAAATGAAAGTTTTAATATGGGAAACTACATCATACATTAAACTTCTTTAATGGTGCACATCACCGGGAAAAAAACAGAAATCTCGCTATTTTCATTGAGGTTTTAATAGGGAAAATCATAGGAGCATATGGGAACACACATTATAGTTTGATATTTTTTATTGGGAATATTGTGGGAAAATATAGAGAATACACTATCGATGGAGGTTTTAATGGTGACAATCATAGGAAAATAAGGGGAGATACACTATAAATTGTGTTTTGATGGGGAAAATCAAAGGAACATATTGGAAAATACATTAAAATTATACATGGAAGTTTTAATCGGGAAAATCATGGGAAAATATAAACTTACACTATAAATGGATGGGGAAATGGTGAAACTCCCAGGAAAAGATAGAACAACACGCTTTAAATTGACGTTTTGATAAGGAAAGTCGTAAGAAAATACACTACAAATGGGATGTTTCAATGGGGAAAAAACATAGGAACATATCTGGACATACACATCTTTAAATGGATGTATCAATGGGGGAAATCAGAGTTTTAATGGTGAAAAGAAAATCATAGGAAAATACGGGGAAACCGCCATCAATGGATTATTTTTCAGCCATGGAGCTGATGATGGTGATGACACCGGAGGATATTTTTAGTGTTTTCATTTCCCAATTGAACCATGAACGTGTTATACTTCTGCTGATTGATTAATATAGGGAGTTATAACACTGATGTATTGCGAACTGGTTGGTGGTTTGGAACATTTTTTTCCATATATTGGGAAGAATAATCCCAACTGACTAATATTTTTCAGAGGGGTTGAAACCACCAACCAGCGAATTATTGTAACCCAGAATAGGAATGTGTACTCTATTTCATGCTTAAAAAAATGTGGTAATATCCCCAGGGATATCTTCTGTAGATATGAGACGATATTGATATGGCTATACGCGGGTGTGAAATCTGAGCACCACGCGCAGAAAAAGGAAAAAAACAGGGCTGAGAAAGCAACAAAAAGCACGTTGCCCATACCCTAAATGATTGTAAACCCAAAACTATTTTGTCAACGGGAATTTCAGGATCCTAAAATGGAGGTACGTTAGTACCATATTTTGGGGCATATTTCTAGGGATATCCCCTTGACATTTTGCCAAAACAAAGGATGTGCAGCATTATATAGGTATTCTGCACTAGCTATTCTTTCCTGGTGGATAGGTGAAACGGTGATTATTTTTCCCCGTTTCTGAAGCTGATGTATATATATATATATATCTATATAGGTCCCCATGATACCACCCCCAAGAACAATCCGCTATTGCATGATATTGGGTAAAAAAAAGGCAAACTTTGGTGATAAATCCTGTTGATTTCCCAGCCCCTTTGTAACTCGTGGTAAACCTCCATGTTCATTAGTTTCAACCCTGGTTATTATTCGGAGTCATTTTAATGGTATTATAAGTCTCAGGACAAACATGTGAAATATCGTGTACACATATTAAACCTGCCCATCTATTGATATACCCATTCTTTGTCATAGATGACCATACATTGACAAAGAAAAAACATATTTCGGTATTATTGTCATAAGGATACATAGTATGCCGTATACAGTTTCCTTGAACCTCAACATAGGCATGCGAGAATAATAGAAAATCATACAAACTGCAGTAAAGTAACATAGCTATGGAAAATCACCCATTTATAGATGATTTACGGAACATAAGAATTGTGATTTCTATATAGCTATGTTGGTTTACAGGAGGGTATTTTCTTACAACTTGACAACGATTGGTATTACCTAATCAGCTTGTGGGTTTACCTACAGAAGCATTATAGTGATTAATGTTAATTAGGTAAAACCAATATTGCCAACAGTACAAACTTCATTAGCTATTCTTCTTACTTCCTTCATCCAGCACAGGCTCTGGCTTGGCTCTTAGATTACCAGCGGAGACAAGCCGAGGACCGACCCATGATTTTTGTGGCTGGCTTGGGTTGCCATGAATACGTCATGATACATGGAAGTTTTTGAATATATGTAAAAAAAACTATCGTAACTAGCTATTTCTTGGGGTCAACTGAGTTGTGACAATTGGCTGCCGTTGTGTTTCTGGTCGTCCCACTAAAAGCTACGTACCATTCCATTGAAACATTTGAAACACTGGTTGGTTAAGAATGGGATTCCCCGTTCATGTTTTATGATCATTCCCTATATATATATATATGCTTCAAACTAATCATCAACCAACAGGATTTTGAAGAGGGCTCATGTTGCTCCTGGTGATTGGATGACACTGCATTTGCAGAAGATTCTATGTTGGACACTTTCAAACAGACAAACAAATCCTTGTCAGAGTAGCTTTCGGCACCCAACAGGTGAATTCCACCTTTGGGGGCCATCAGATCCTGTTTGGGCCTTCCAGGTAAAAACGGAAGCCCCCAAAAATATGGATTTGCTGGGTCACTACCAGAGTGGGTGTCTCGTACCACAGCTCTGATGTCAGGAGAAGGAGGAGGCAGAGAGGCAGGAGCCGGACCTTTTTTGGCAGTGCTTCGCTGAACATTTCCGCCCTAAGATGATGGCGTAGTTTGGTGATGCTTGGTGTTCAGTTCATGGAAAAAGGACTCTAATTGGGAAAGTGCAATGAATGGCCCACACATGTCTGCATCTGAAAGTGCCTTGCAGTTGTGATTCATTTAAACGAAATGGGTTCTAGAACTTGACACATTTACGGAATTAGTAATTTTGATCGCAAACCATAAAGAACAGGTGTGGTGATTTAGTGGTGATGTGTCAGAAAATAGGGTTTGGTCAGTTTGGTCCCACAAACTGGCTATTTCAATGCGGGCAATGAATTATGATTAATTGATCCATTTATACAGGATGGGGCCCCCCAGTGAAGTTTGTTGGTTTATAAACCCCATTAACCATAGTTATCTATAGTTATATCTACCATAAACCATAGTTAAACCACTTGTAAGGCAACTGAACGCTATCGAACTGGGGCGCCGTCTTGTAGGGGGATTTTTCGATTGCAGGTAACCAATTGATGAGCGGAAATTCGGGGCTACCATATTCTTGGATTAGCTGAGTGGATGATTTGGCTTTTCTTCCCAAATCAACTACTCGGGGAATCGATTCAGGGCATATTTTTGATTCTTTTTGTGTTCCTTACGGAATCGATTCAGGGCATACGCTTTATTCGTGTTATATGTTTGCTTCAATCTTGGGGAATCGATTCAGGGCAATGACTATTTTCGGTGAACCGCAGGCAGCGTCTGGAGAGGGAGCAAGCAGAGAACGAGGTGAAGCGGGAGGCGCCGCGACGGAACAGCGTTCAAACCGACTGGATGGATACTTTAACCCCTTAGTTCCTATACTGTAATTGGAAATAAGCATAACCAGCATTTGTTTTTTTTTGTGGACTACCAAAGATTCACCGTGAAATGGGGTTACCCCAATAGCTGTTTTTGGAAATCTTTGTTATTTTCATGGAATCCATGGAAAATCCCATCTATAAATGGATAACTGGGGGTACCCCCATGACTTAGGACACCTCCAAATGACGGGGTTGCTCCAACCAATGATGGGTGAACGGCCACAAGGGCTTGCAATTACCCGATTTACTCCCCTTCTAACTGGGCTGATGGGAGCAACCCTGAAATGAGAGGTTGAATCATTTCTGTATGGTATACTATTCTATGTGGACATAGTGGGATACAATCGGGTAAAATGGGATAAACTGATAAACTGATATATATATAATATGATATAATGAGATACAATGAGATAAATAATGGGATTTAATTTGTATATGCACAACCAACATAAAGATGTTTGTGTGCCTCAAAATGGGGAAACAATAGGAACACTAATGATCAATCATCGAAATTTGGGCGACCCAATTTTCAGACAAACTCTTGGGAGAGGAATTGATCGCATGTCTAGACATGTGTCCCACGCCTTTAGTATTCCAGCTCTGAATCAACCTCCCCTGCGTTGGTGCACCTTGATTTTTGGTGCTGTTGACAGCTGAAAATCAATGAAGATCATATTTTGGGGGTTCTTAGGGGGATCCCCAATGGCCCAAGTCACCATGGGTTTCAAGACATTTCAATGCTCTAATTTTGACTGATTTGGGGGTAGCCTCCCATGACTTAGGAAACCTCCATTAATTTCATGCAGGGTATCTCCGCTTAGCCATTCATGGAGGAAGACTATATCCTGTTGAAACATGTCTCAAAGATAGCTTGATACCTTGAATATCGTGCTTCATGTCGGACATTCATGACCTTCGGTTTTCATGGCTTTTATTGTTGTTCCTTTCGGGTAGCCCCAAGCTTGACAGTCAATCATGAGGTTCTCCCAAACAAATAATGCCATAGCCTCCAAGAAAGTAACAGCTGTAGAAAATTGTCCATTTATAGATTATTTACCGAACTTAAACATGGTGATCTCCTTAGCTGTGTTAATTTACCAGCCTAGGGCCTAAACCCATAGACGACCAAAATATTCTAGTAGAAAATCTACATATTCTACCTGTACCTAGACCCACAAAGTAGTACACCTATTTTCTGACTTTGTGGGTCTAGAGGCCAAAGTCAGCTGTTAATTACCATTTGGTTATTTAACATAGCCATGGAAAATCACCATTTTTAATAGGTAAACCATCTATATATGGGCCATCTATACCATGGCTATGTTAAATAACCAGAGGGTAGGTGAACCCAAGAATCTGGGCAAATGATAGTGACCTCACAGCAGGACCGATCATGAATCATGGTTTATATATGGGAAGTCATCCCCTTTTATGGCCGAACTAATTTTTATGGCTAGTGACTTTTTATTTTACCCAGATCAATGGGGGATTTACGCGGACTTACCCCAAACATGGAAATGTATCCAGCAAAAGTAAGGATATGTAAGGATGTTTTTTGCAATAAATTTGCTTTCTGGTTTGAACATGCTTGAACATTTTGAATTATTTGTGGGTTTTCGATCCATATGTAGAAATGACCCCTGACGTTAATATTTTTGGGATGGTCATCTCAATCACCAAGCAGCATGATTTGGGGCAAAGTGTTTGGGGAACATATCCTAGCCGGGTGGAACCCGTTTGGAATCCCCGTTGATCCTTAAAAGTTGTTTTTTTGGCGGGTCTTTATCCCATTGGTGCAACGAAAAACCACCCGGCGGGCTGTTTATCGAACCCGCGTTTTCAACGTTTGCAGTGTTCGTCATTGATTTCATACCACAAATCACAGTGGTTTTGCATCTCTCTCAAAGTTCAATTTCCTTAAAAAGTACGCGCGTACTTTTCACTGGATATGTAAAAACCTCAGAGGCACTCTCTTTTTTTCTGCGCTAAGTGTTCTTCACAATTTCTGCAGTGAGCTTGGAGAGGTTTTTGTGGGAACTGTTTTCCCATCTCCACTGCCAAGCGCTAACATGCATCCAAATCTTGCCATTGAGCAAGACTAACGTAGACTAACGTAGCATCATATATGAGGAAGTGCAAGACGATATACAGTAGCGTTGCATCATGTATGTGAGGAAGTGCAAGACGACGTACACTAGCGTAGCATCATATATGTGAGGAAGTGCAAGACGACGTACAGCAGCGTAGCATCATGTATGTGAGGACGCGCAAGAAGACGTACAGCAGCGTAGCATCATGCATGTGAGGAAGTGCAAAAAGACGTACAGCAGCGTAGCATCACGTATGTCAGCCAGTGCAAATGAACGTCATTACCCCACCCCACCCCGTTAACCCCATGAAAGACATAGAAACATGCAAAACGCTGGTTCGGTTTTCAACCCGTAGGCAAAAACCACCCAGGAAACCTTATACATACATACAATATCATACAATTACATACATAAATGCCAACAAAAAAGAAGGACAATACCAATATACATATATATATATACACATACATATGTCAATATATATATATATTTCCTGCAGATTTTCCCTTAAAGCAATGGATGTTCCATATCTACCAGGTGAAGCTTTGGGGGACCCTTTGTGCTGGCATGGCTTGGTGAAAACGGAAGAGGCGGTTGGACTTCCACCAAAAGTGGCGCTCTGGTGATAATTGGTCGTGGTCGCGGCAAGGGTTTTGTTTGGCGTCGAATGATCTCAGGTGGTGTTTGGAGACGAAAGTGGTGTCATTTTGTGCACCTTGTGGCCTCCGGCAAGTCGATACCATGCAATGCAGTCGGCAGTGGAGGCGAGTGCCGAGTGCTTCCCGAAGTGCAAGGTCTCGGCCGTGGAGACTCGCCTGATCCTGGGACGTTTTGCGGTGCATCATTTTCATTGTGAACACGTGGCAACCGCAGCATATCTTTTAGGGACGTAGGCTGAACGGTGATTGTATGGTGATCTTCTGGCAATATAACATGGGAAATCCCTAGCAAATTTGGGGGTGTCTAGCTGGGAAAATCATCGACAAATCATGATAAATCTGTATATCTGTATCTATATATATATATATCTATATAAATCTATCTATAATCTGAATACATAATTGATGTTGCGGCCTCAATCTGTGACGAATGCTGGGAATGTTGGGAATCGATTGCGGGGAATCATCCCCTTAAAGTGGCCCAACATGTTTTCCCAGCTCTTTTTTCAGGCGAATGAATTATGATGAAATTCAGCCAGAAAAATGCGGATATAGCAGGAAGAGCCAGGAAGAAAGGAGATTTGATCAGTACCAACCAGGATCGATGTTGGTTTCCGGCTGGTAAGTTGTCTATGAACTGGGAGTTTACGCATATCATCCATGATTTCGAAGCTTTGGTGCGGCAACTCCGCCCATCAAAAGGACATGTTTTTTGCGTTTGGTACCTCCATATGAAGGTAAACGCCCCAACTAGAAATAGCGGTCTTTAAGGGCAAGATTTGATATGAGGTACTTGGAAAGAGGCTCGGATTCGGGGGAAAAATCATTGAACCCGGATTGATATGTGTATTCCTAGTCTTTCTCTAGTTAAAAGCTTGCTTTTCTCCAGAAGATTTG